GGACTTGATTGTATTCTTTTCTTATTTTGAAAGCTTTAGTTGCAATTATTGTTTTTAAGGGTATTTTAGGTAGTTTATATTGTTGAATAGTGGAATGGGGTATTTTGGAAAGGCTATTGGTTTATTTTGGGTATTTCCAATAATTTCCCGCAAATGAGTTTATCAAAAATAAATTTTTGAGGAGTACAGTGACCGGATTTTAATAATTAATATACCAATAGACAATACTATACTAGTTAACCATATGTGTGTTGCTTGTAAATATATATTAAAGACATTCGACACACATTATTTACATATAGCTAAAATTTGATTTTTTTATCGTTTAATATTAATCCACAACCTAAGTAAACAAGTTCGAAAAAAGAAAGAGTAGCCAAATAAAAATATCTAAGGGTGCGTTTGATTGCAATAGTGGAAAATGGGTAGAAAGAAAATGATTTGCAAGGAAAATAATTGCCTAGAAAATATTTTGTAGGGAATTGTTAATTAAGTGTATTTGATTAGTATAATTTTGCACCCGAAAATTTTTTAAATTTTCTATTCGTTTGGTTTTGTTTTACATGGTGTCTGTTAAAGTGATAATTTTTTCCACAATTGGTTATAAAATTTGTTTCCATTGCCAAAAAGTAAATTTAAAAAAAAAGGAAAAAATGTTTGCTAAAAAATCATTTTTTCATCAAAGTTTAGTGTTCATTTGACTTTGTTTTGCATGAAAATTGTCCATTAAAGTGAAATTGTCCAAAATGGTGAGAAAAAGTTTTCCTCAAAAACTCGGAAAATATTTTTCGTGGAAAATTTTGCCTATCAAACAGCCAAAAAAGTGAAAAATATTTTCCTAATTCCCTGAAAAATAACGCCTATCAAACAAGGCCTAATTGAATATGGAGCCGAGAAGCATGGAACGAGGGAATATTATCGTATTTATATCTAAATTTTCTTAATATATGTACCCCAAGTACAAGAAAAAATGATCATTTGCTAAAAGAAATTGTATCCATCTACTTCTTGGAATGGGGGGTTCGACAAATATAAACAAAAAATATTTATTATTTAGGGTAAATTTCAGTTCCAACATGGTTCATCGTGAACGATCGAGTTCTCAACAAGTTTTCGATCTATGTTATCGTGCATGATGTCATCTTTATCTAACAAAACCTCTAAAATGGTCAAATTTTATTTCGGAAGACGACCATTGAACCCAGGGGCGGATCCAGACAATTTGTATTG